TAACAAAGTATTAGGGCGAGTTCTTCATTTATGGATTACCTGAGTGTGGACAGACTTATATTATCGGTAGGGATGACAATGAGGTGAGTTTGTGACATGTTTCTTTAAATCATCCCCATCCCCATATCTAAACACCCATATCCGTACCCATCTCCATACCCATGGCAGGGAGGATTTGCAACCTCATCACCATAATCGCGGTTTTCAGCCGTCCGTGGTAATACCTGTCCCGAATGTCCAATAGTACTATACCTAGAATTCAACATGTAGATCTTTAACTATAACACTAAACGTACATAATAAGTCACGAAAGCAACAAAATTACAACCATTCTTAAAATGATTTCAACGCATCCAATCACATTCATTAATCCATAAAATGAATTCAACGCATCCAATCCTTAATCTATTCAAATAATTCCAACAACTCTACTAAACAATAAAGAACTAACATAATCTTTTTAACATGGGGAAGTAAGTAAAAGGGTGAAGGGTTAATGAAGTGAAATAAATAACTAACATATTCTTTTTAACAAGAGGAAATTTGTGTTTGGTTTGAGATAACACAATTACATTTCAACTCTTTATTTTACGAAATACCCTTCCTTTCATTGAGGGATTAAAATATGATGTCTATATTTTTATAGATTAAGAAATATTTTTTTGTGGGATGGGTATGAATACGGTCATGAGGAGGGGGAATCTAAAACCATACCTATCCCATCCCATCAAACTTTTTATAGGGATGAACACACGTGAAATGGATCGAAAACGGTTGGATACCTGTCATGATGGATTTGATTGTCATTCCTAATTATGCACCAATGGGTCTTATATGCAAACGGTCAATTAAACGCGTAGTGAGCTCTCCTTTAGAAACACCGGACATATCAAAACCCAATGGGTTAATAGCATTTTGTACCCTCTATTATTGCAAATTAACAAATATACCCATGTACTAATTTTTTGCACAAATATACCCTTCTAATATCGAAATGTAACAAATATATCCTTCCGTTAGCCAACCGTTTAATGGGCATTTAATGACACAAATACCCCTAATTTAATTATAATTTCCATTTCAATTAAAAATTAAACCTACACTAAACCAATCCCCTATATTTCGTCTTCCTCGTTCTAGGGGTGGAGGTTTGGTTACCAGTTTCCGGTTAACCAGTCGGTTAAATTGATAACCGTCTGGTTATCCACTAACTGATAACCGATATAACCGAAATTCGGTCGGTTATCGGAGGCTGGACGAGATGGTTTTGGTCCTGGAAGAGGTGCGATTACACGATAACCGAGATAACCGAAGCCTATTTTGGTCGGTTGTCGGTTGGAGGGCAGCTTTTCGGTTAATCGATAACCGACCGTGGTAATACCTGCCCCGAATGTCCAACAGTACTATACCTAGAATTCAACATGTAGATCTTTAACTATAACACTAAACTTCCATAATAAGTCATGAAAGCAACAAAACTACAACCATTCTTAAAATGAATTCAACGCATCCAATCCTTAAGCATTCATTAATCCATAATATTAATTCAACGCATCAATCCTTAATCTGTTCAAATAATTCCAACACCTCTACTAAACAATAAAGAACTAACATAATCTTTTTAACATGGGAAAATAAGTAAAAGGGTGAAGGTTTAATGAAGTGAAATAAATAATTAACCTAATCTTTTTAACAAGAGGAAATTTGTGTTTGGTTTGAGATAACTCAATTATATTTCAACTCTTTATTTTTTGAATTACCCTTCCTTTCATTGAGGGATTAAAATAGGATGCCTATATATTTATGGATTAAGAAATATTTTTTGTGGGATGGGTATGAATATGATCATGAGGAGAGGAATCTAAAACCATACCTATCCCATCCCATCAAACATTTTATAGGGATTCCACACGTGAAATGGATCGAAAACGGTTGGATACCTATCATGATGGATTTGATTGCCATTCCTAATTATGCACCAATGGGTCTTATATGCAAATGGTCAATTAAACGCGTAGTGAGCTCTCCTTTACGCATTAGTTGGGAATGGAGGGGGTGCAGATTAATGGATGCAAATTCAGAATCCAAGAAAATTGTACCCGTTTGGATACTTTGCTACAGTGAGGGAGTGCAATTTTATGGAGCATAGTCACTGTACTCACTCTCCCCCAAATTGGGGTGCAACCAAAATGAAAAGGGAGGGGGTGGTGGGGCGAGCAGAAAAAGTTGAGGGAGGTGGTGGTGAGAGAAGATGAGAGTTGGTTTTTTCTAATTATTTTATTTTAATTTTTTATTATAATGATTATGAAAAATGTTTTTATTTCATTTTGCACTCCATTACTTTATCTTCCAAACAACAATTTACGCTTCAATTTATAACCCCTCAAATTTGCTCCCCCTATAATTTGCACCTCAATTTGCACCCCTCGTTGCCAAATAGAGTGTTAGAAACATTGGACATATCAAAACACAATGGGTTAATAGCATTTTGTACCCTCTATTATTGCAAATTAATAAATATACCCTTGTACTAATTTTTTGCACAAATATACCCTTCTAATATCGAAATGTAACAAATATATCCTTCCGTTAGCCAACCGTTTAACGGGCATTTAATGACACAAATACCCCTAATTTAATCATAATTTCCATTTCAATTAAAAATTAAACCTACACTAAACCAATCCCCTCTATTTCGTCTTCCTCGTTCTAGGGGTGGAAGTTCGGTTACCAGTTTTCGGTTAACCGGTTAGTTAAACCGAAAACCGTCCGGTTATCCACTAACCAATAACCGATATAACCAAAATTCAGTCTGTTATCGGAGGCTGGACGAGATGATTTTGGTCCTGGAGGAGGTGTGATTAAACGATAACCGAGATAACCGAAGCCTATTTCGGTCAGTTATCGATTGGGAAGCCAGCTTTTCGATTAACCGATAACCGACTGTTCGATTACCGGTTATAACCGAAATAACCGAAAATCCACCCCTACCTTGTTCCATAAGAGTGACCTTTTACTTGGCAGCCTGTGTGCATGGTTTCTCAATACACTGAAATTTTCTGTGAGGGACAGCCTGTGAGACAAGAAGATGATAATCAATTGGATTAAGTTGATTGGAGTGAAGCCACCAAAGGATCCGGAAGCAAATGAGCAAAGTTCGTGAGTTATGGATGTCCATCGATGAAACTACAGCTCTAGAATTCAAAGTCAACTACTATAGTGCTGTCTGCTTTCTCGACGGAGGAGAAGAAGCCGCGGAACTGGCCGCTGTTCACAGGAGAAAACCGAGTGCTTTCTCTTCGGCTGGACCCGCTGCTGTCAACTACAGCCACCGGTGAGGAAAAATCGATGCAGCACTGTCGAGGGCAATTAAGCAGGGTGTGCTGGACTGGAGTACCTATCGGAGGGAGTCTTCAACAGTGACCGGGGAGAAAGCCGGGTGTCCAGCCAATATGCCACAGTCTAGCGGAGTCTTCGTCGGTGGCGGGCAAAGAGGAAGACGAAATAGCGGGGATTGGTTTAGGCTAGGTTTAATTTTTAATTGAATTGGGCAGCAAATATTAAAACAAAAATGAGGAATAAATTAGGGGTATTGGAGTCATTTTTTGACCGATTAAACAACTTACTAACCGAAAATTATTTGATAATAGAAGGATTTATTTGTGCAAAAATTTAATATATGGGTACATTAGTTAAGTTACAATTGTAGAAGGGTAGAAAATGTTACTCATCGTCCAAATTTTGCGGGCTCAATAATGCGAGTAGAAGACTTGAAAATATTGGACATACTCTGAAGTAGGGGTGGCAGTCGGTCGGTTTCGGTTTAACCGAAAATCGAAAATCCGGTTATCGGTTAAACCGAGACACTCCTATAGCTGCCGACCACCGACCGAAGAGAGGTCATGGTTAGCCGGCCAACCGACCGGTCAGTTCCGGTTTTAGACTCGGTTAGCCGGCCAACCGATAAAAATACAATTTTCACAAAAAAAAAAAAAAAAACTCCACCTCTCCTTCCTTATCTCCTCCTCTCTCCTTCCTTCCTCCACCAGACCTCTTCTCTCTCCTTCCTTCTTCTTCTCTCACCTTCTTTCTCCATGGCCCATGCAAACAGATCTGCAGGGGCGGCGAGGCGCGCGGCGCCGGGGAGGAGGTGGGTCGTCGGGGAGGAGGTGGGTCGCCGGGGAAGAGGAGGTGGCTCGGAGTCAGAGCAAGTTGTGGTGGCGGTGGAAGGAGGGGTAGCGGAGGAGGCAGGGGAGGGCGCCCGGAGTCGTCGTCGGAGGGAGGATGGGGGAGGAGGAGGGAGGATGGAGGAACGAGAGGTCAGAGGAAGGAGGATGGGGGAGGATCAGAGGATGGGGGGCGGCTCTCACGGCTGCTAGGGTTTAGGGAGAGGTGGCCAGGTGGGTAGTTTTATTTAGGCCAAAACAGGGTCGTTTAGCGTCGGTTAGTCGGTTAACCGGCCTCAACTTTTCGGCTAACCGCCTAACCACTGAACGCTTCCGACAACCGACCGCCACCCATTTTTTTCGGTTTCCGGTTAGCCGCTAATCGGCGGTTACCGATTAGACCAGCCGGTTAGCCGCTAACCGGCAACCTAACTGACAGCCCTACTCTGAAGCCCAATCTGTAGAAACATGGCCCATGAACGACAGAGTTCCTGACGACTTGACGAGGAGAGTACTGGCGGATATGGATAATCTTCGGGCCGGATAGTATGATATCCAATTATCCCGGTTTTACCCAAACCCGTCTGAATCTAGTCTGTTCGGGGTTTATCAATTTCGACGGGTCGGGTAGCTGCTGGCCTGGTCGTTTTTCGCCGACCCTAAATGTAGGGTTGCTGCTGGGTTTTATGTGAACTGAAGGGTTTTGCAGAGATAAACGCCACCACCACCGCTTCTACTCCTTTTCCCGCCCCACTCCGCCTTCCGCGATTCCGGTTCCGGCTCTCTCTCTCTCTCTCTCTCTCTCATCTTCCATCTCCTGCCTGTTACTACCTAATGGGGGTTTCTACTCCTCCGAAAGAGGCGGACCGCCTCAAGACCACTGTCGTATGTCGCCCATGCTTACTCCCCCTTCTCCTCTCTTCATCCGCTTCGACCGTAAGTCTGATCACGAAGAACTCTGTTTTTCTGTTTTGCAGGACGAGAATGCCCGCATTAGTGGCGAATTCGACGGCGAAGGAGAAGCAAGCGAAGGGTCAGAGCTAAGTGAAGTAGCTACTGAAGAGGGTGGTGGTTCTTCGGGCGATGAGGTATGCTGCACATTGTTCTTCCTCTGTCTCTACTCGAGCTGAAGCTCTGTTCTCTGTTTTGAAATTATTGAAGAGGTAATCATTTGCAGGATGCCAGTACCAGCGGTGGTAGTGGATTGGATGATGATGAAGGTGAAAAGGGTGACTCTGGAGAAGAGGCTGAAGCGAGAGGTTCCTCTTCTGATGACGAGGTTGGTGCTACTTTGTCCTCGCTACTCTTTCCAAATCATTTGGCTTCGTTTTAGCCGAGCTTGGGTTTTTTGGTGGAGTTATTGTGGGGGTGATGGCAAGTTTATTCAATTTATAGGATGCCTCTGCAACAGATAATGATGGACTAGACAGTGTGGAAGGAAGTGGAGACTCTGATTCTGAGCGCAGTCGAGTTGCTGAAGAGAGCGATTCTTCGGAGGATGAGGTGCTTTGCGTTTCCCCTTACTCCTTCCCGCTCTTCATCTCCCTAATGCATACACCTCCCTGTACTTAACTCTAAAGGCGACTCTTCTATGTTCCTTTTCTCTTTTTGGCTATTTGTTCCGAGTAGGTAGCTCCTCGAAATACAATTGGAGATGTTCCCTTGGAGTGGTACAAGGATGAGCCACATATTGGATATAACATTGAAGGGAAGAAGATAACCAAAAAAGAAAGACAAGACAAACTCGACTCTTTCCTTGCTAATGTTGATGACTCAAAAAATTGGTAAGCTCCTCATTTTATGCATCAGTCTATCATGTAAGGCACATCCTAGTAATAGATTGATAATTTTCATGTCACCCTTGAAGTTTAAACATAGACCAACTGGTCAAGATATATTCACTTGGAAGCTATAATTTTATTGATACCTGCCACTTTTCTTTTGCTAGCCTAGGGTTCTATCTTTTAAAGAGTGCAAAATGATTGCTGGTGTTCCATTTGATTGGACCATTTCTTTCATAAGACAGCGGCAGCCTGAATTTCGGACTGTTTATGAGGATCAAGCTGCATTTTCTTGCATTGGGTTTATGTGATTAGGTTGTTAGTTTCTGTTTGTTGTCTGGATTTAGATGCGGCTGTGCCAACTTACTTGAGATAGTTGGAAAACTCTCGTAAGTTCTGATAATATGAATGGATTTACTGATTTAATTTCACAAATTATGTAATACTATGTTCATGTGTGATGTCCAGGCGCAAGATTTATGATGACTACAATGACGAGGATGTAGAACTAACCAAGGAAGAAGCAAAAATGATCAGTAGATTGCTCAATGGAAAGGCACCACATGCTGAGTTTGATCCATATGCGGTAGGCATTAGGTTGTATATATAGCTCACCAGACACCATCTTTCTATATATTGCTTGTTTATGGATGGTGGATACACAATATTCAAGTCTGAATAACTTCTGTTTTGTTTCTACAGCCGTATGTTGACTGGTTCAAATGGGATGATGCTATACATCCATTATCAAATGCACCAGAGCCAAAGCGAAGGTTCATTCCTTCGAAATGGGAAGCTAAAAAGGTATTTGTTACTGTTCAACTTATTTTATAGAACTCTAGACTAGAGTTGAAGTTGAATGAATTCAATTGGAACTTGAAATAGCGACTTTACTTGAATGGTATGCTGTTCTAGCATGATTGTTATATATACTCTTCTTTGTGCTCTCTAGGTTGTCAAATATGTCAGGGCTATTCGTAAAGGATTGATAAAGTTTGACAAACCAAAAGAAGAACCCCGTTTCTACATGTTGTGGGGGGATGATTCTGGCGCTGCAGATAAGACTAACCATTTGTCTTACATACCTGCCCCAAAGCCAAAGTTACCAGGTATGAATTGGCCCATATTGAAGGTTTCAGTCTCCTTTTAAATGCATTTATCTACTGAGGTTAACTGTTTATTTTTAGGCCATGAGGAGTCCTACAATCCTTCTTTAGAGTACATTCCAACACAGGAGGAAATTAATTCATATCAGCTTATGTATGAAGAAGACAGACCTAAATTTATACCTAAAAGGTAATGAAGCTAGTGCTGTGCCTGGCTCATTTCTTTTCAACCAAAGATATTGCTGACACATAACCAAATTGTAATATTTCCCAGATTCACTTCTATGAGAAGCATTCCGGCGTATGAGAATGCTGTAAAAGACTCTTTCGAGCGCTGTTTGGACTTATATCTGTGCCCTAGAGTCCGGAAGAAACGTGTAAGTAGACATGGCATTGATGTTTTCTACTGCATATGATGTGAAGGCAATTGTAGTTGATACATTGTGTTCCGGATTTCAGATTAATATAGATCCCGAGTCCTTGAAACCTAAGCTTCCTAGCCGAAAGGATCTGAAGCCTTACCCATCAACATGCTACATTGAGTATATAGGTCATAAGGGCCCTGTTGTTTCGATTTCAACTGAAGTTTCAGGAGAATGGATTGCATCAGGTATGGATGAATGTCTGCTGCAGATGGTTGTTACTGGAATCACATATAATGAAGTCCCATATATCCGATTCATTACGTTATTCCCTTTCAAGGTTCTACTGATGGGACTGTTCGAATTTGGGAGGTCGAGTCTGGTAGATGCCGAAAAGTCTGGCAGTTTGATGAAGCTGTGCATTATGTAGCTTGGAATCCGATGCCTGAGCTTCCTATATTAGCAGTCTCTGTGTAAGGCTGGTTAATTATCTGTATTTATTTGGATTTCTTATTGTTTGTGCATCCGAATCAACTACATAATGATTGTATAGGGGTCAGGATGCATATCTCTTGAACACTGGTGTAGGAAATGAAGAGACTCAAAGAAAACTTGGGGAACTTCTATATGTTGAGGCAGCTAAAGTCTCGGATGATTCGAGTAAGTATTGACTTGGTTATTCTAGTCCTGCTATGTGAAAAATGTGTGTACCTGACTTGATCTTTATATTTTCCTGTATAGATAATCCCATATGTAGCTGGATCCAAGATGACGAACATGGAGGAATCAAGCTGAGACATGCTAAGGTAAATTCACTTTTTATTTTATCTTAAATGTTTGCTTATTTCAGTGTCCATATTGCTTTCTCCTTGTGTCGGGAGAAGTTCCAATCCCTAAATTTCGGAGTTTCAGTAGTGAAGTTGTGCATAACTGAGAAGGTTATTGGAGAACAACTAATTTTCACTAAACCTGAAGTCTACTCATCATTATCTTTTCTAGTAAATTTGTATAGAAAATTATTGACTTTAGTGAATGGAGTTTTCATCAAACCTTACCCGGGAGGCACTTAACTCATTTACCTTGTGTTATAATATAAGTTGTAGCTGAGATAATGTAACCAGCTCAAGCATGCAAAAGCTGAATTTGAAAAGAAAGAGAAAACGGATCTGGATGCTTTCCTAGTGTTCTTATTTGATACCTTTTCATTGAAGATATTTGATTAATAATTGGATATTTGAGGTTGGTGCTATGAACTCTGTTGGCTTTATGCTTTTCCTGTTAACGCCTGTATGCAGCTTTTCTCCGTCCACACACTGAAAAATTGTCGGCACATATTTTGAATAACATGATAGATTATGCTTACTGGTTAAGCATGGGGAATTATCTTCATTGCTCGAAACCAAGGAACAATTAGAGGCTTTGTAGAATATTTAGGATCAGTCTTTCAAATATTTCAGATTCACAGATAATGGCGATCGTAAAAGATTCACCTTATTGAAACAAACCTGATTGACTATTTTCCCCCTCTCATTCTGGTCTGCTTTGCTAAAGGTTTATGTTTTCTTTTTTGTTGTTTGATCTAGAATGGGATGTCAGGTAACATCTCACATTTATAATTATGCAGAAGAAGTCATTCAACTGATTTTTTCCGCATTCGACCTCATTCTCTTTCTTTTTTGTTATTTCAGACCGTGTCTTCTGTGGAGTGGCATCGAAAAGGAGACTATTTTTCAACTATAATGCCAGCAGATATCCTTTTCTTGCTGTTGTTCTCTCTTGCAATTTTTCGTTTGTATGCCTCTGCTTTCGTATCTTGGTCCTTGAGTTCTGTACCCAAACCTGTTACTTAGATTTCCATATGAATGAGATGTTAAGAATTTTCATCATTTCATGCCATGTCATTTCACGCTCTGATTTAGAATGGCGTTCTAAACGCTTTTTTATCATCGATACCTTTTGTGAGAATCAGAATATCACCACCTAAATTAACCATTGTTTTTCTTTTTCCGAGTTAATCATTGTGAAAATGATAGTATTCTAGATATTAGATTCGTATTTCTTCCGCCAGAACCCAAGAAAACAACTAACCCAGCTTTACTATGTCTTTGATCATTGCATTTGCTTGGACTAGGTGGGATGTCTTATTTTTGTGATGATAATCGAGAATGTGTTTCTGAGTTGCTTAAGCGTAAAATGTAGTTCTTTTCAGGTGGAGTAATGTGAATTTACATGATAGTATGTTGCCTTGACTTGATTATCACGTGAATCAAAATCAGTCATGATACACCAGCTCTCTAAGAAGCTTACGCAAAGGCTTCCATTTAAGCTGAAAGGAATTGCAGTGTCATCAGTATTTCATCCTACACGTTCCATATTCTTTGCTGTCACAAAGAAGAATGTAAGAGTGTATGATCTGCTGAAGCAGAAATTGATAAAGAAGCTTGAGACTGGTCTCCGTGAAGTCTCATCTATTGCAATTCATCCTGGTGGTATGTTTTGGCTTCATTGATTTTAACATGGTTGTGTTAGTTTGTTTGGTATGTATCTAATATCACCATTTTAAATACATACCATGCAGGTGATAATGTGATTCTAGGAAGCAGAGAAGGAAAGCTATGTTGGTTTGACATGGACCTCTCATCTAAACCTTACAAGATTCTCAAGTACGGGTCTTTTGCTGAACATGCATTATTTTTTATAAATTTCTTTCCGAGTTCTGGTAGTGATATCTACCAGCACTGTGTTCAGAAACCAGAAGTTGTGTCCAATTGTGTTGATTTGATAATAAACTTCTCCATTCAAATGGATTCCTCCAGTTTTTTATGAGTCCTCTTGGTTTATAGTTTTTTGTGAGGGGATCTGTTTCAATGTTGATGGCCAGCTCTCTGATGGACTACTGTGTTTTATGAGTCCTCTTGGATGCCTCCAGTTTTTTATGAGTCCTCTTGGTATATCGTTTTTTGGGTGGGGATCTGTTTCAATGTTGATGGCCAGCTCTCTGATGGACTACTGTGTTTTGCTAGGTCTCATTCGAAGGACGTTACGAATGTTGCATTCCATCGTTCGTACCCACTGTTCGCATCATCTTCTGATGATGGCACTGCATATGTCTTCCATGGGATGGTGTACTCGGATCTTAATCAGAATCCTCTGATTGTTCCATTGGAAATTCTTCGTGGGCATACAACCTTTAATGGAAGAGGTTGGTACCTTTCCCCTTCACTGTTGTACTTGCAGTCAATTAAGAAAGAAATTTGTCACTGTTCAATGAAATTCTGGGTAGATGCACATTATTGCCAGTCAATGCTTTCTTGATTTTTGTCAAAAAAAAAAAAATGCTTTCTTGATTCCCCTTCAATTTGCGATGAGCATGGAAGTGAAAAACAAGGCCTTTTCTTATTTATATGACGGTAAAGATGCGAATCGACTAAATAATGTGTTATTAGAACCATAAAACTAAAAGAAAAACAATTCAGTTGTTTGGAATGATATGATGTAGCTTCTGATATCTAATATGTTATTAGAACCAGAAAACTGATCATCTTTAGAATAACTTCTATTTCTGATGAAGCTGGATTGAAAAAAGTCGGTTCTACATCCCTTTACCTATTGGTTAATTTTCTTTGTTTGTCTTGCTCACAATGTTGCAGGAGTAATGGATTGCAAATTCCATCCGCGACAACCTTGGTTGTTCACTGCTGGTGCTGATTCGTCGATCAAGTTGTATTGCCATAATTAAGGTACTAGGTACTGCTGCTGAAGAAATTATCGCCAGGTCGGTGTACGCAGAAGTTGTGTAAGGAATTCCCTACGGAGTCCTGTTCCTGATCGGTAGACGCCAGGTCAAACAAACTCCAGAATCTGTAGGGCAGCTCCTTTCTTCCATGGTTTGTCATTGTGCTCTGCATTGCTATGGAGAATAGGTACGAGGAGGGATTTATGTCAAAGGATTCTTGATCTAGAGGCTCGCCTACGATTGGACCTAGAGTTTTGTTGGCTTTACTATTTCCCTGAAATTTCAGTCAAATGAGATGAACTTGGGAGTTGTAAGTAGAGTGTGGAAGGAATAGGGCTAATTTTCTTGTTGCGTCTTTGGGAAGGAAGTTGCAAAAAAAAAAAAAAAAAAAACGAGAAAGCAGACCCAAGGACACTTTAGACAAAAGAAGAATATATCTAATTTTGTTTGTTTTAAGTAAATTTCAATTGTATTTTTTGATCATATAATGTACTAGGTGGTAATGACGCTCCGATTTGAACTCCCTCGTCGGATCTCCTCGAGAGTGGAAGAATTTGTGAGGCTGGGGCGGCCTTGGAAATCTACACTCCGATGCCCAAGTTAGTACGATCTAGGAGAGGGTGTATGATATGTAGAGAGATAAAGTAGTGAGAGAGTTTAGAGAGTGAACCATAGGTGGAGAGTGTTGGAAGGGAAGAGAGCCTTCCTGATGTTGGCCCCTAGTAGGTGTTTCATCTTCTAGCCTGCTGGTTCTTTCTTTTACCCTACCGAGAGGCGTTCTATCTTCCAGGCCTTTGAGAGGCATTCTTCCTTATAGGTTCCTAGGAATTTTGATCATTTTTTCTTTCAGAGGAGCATTATTAGTCTTTCTGTTTCCTTTGAAGCGCTTTAGTATTTTGGATTTCTCGGAATTGCTTAAGTATTTTGGTTTTCTGAGAAACGCATTAGTCTTTCAGCTTTCTGGGAAGCTTAGTATTCTGGCTTTCTGAGAAGCGCTTAGTCCTTCAGCTTTCTAGGAAGCTTAGTACTCCCGACTTTTTGTGAAGAGCATTAGTCTTTCAACTTTCTGGAAAGCTTAGTATTTCGACTTTCTGAGAAGCACATGGGTCTTTCAGCTTTCCTGGAAGCTTAGTATATAAACTTTCTGAGAAGCGTATTAGACTTTCAGTTTTCTTGGAAGCTTAGTATTTCGGCTTTCTAATAAGCGCACTAGTCTTCCGCTTCTGAGAAGGCTTTAGACCTCGACTTTCTAGAAAGCTTCCTAGTCCTTCGCTTTTTTGGGAAGCGCTTTAGTCTTTCGACTTTTGAGAAGCGCATTAGTCTTCCGGCTTTCTGGGAAACGCATTAGTCCTTCGGCTTTCATTGCTCATTTGTTTCCTAGTAAGCGCATTGCTTCTTCGGCTTCCTGGGAAGCGCATTGCTCCTTCGCTTCCTATGAAGTGCATTAGTCCTTCGGCTTCCTGGGAAGCGCATTGCTCCTTCGCTTCCTGGGAAGCGCATTGCTCCTTCGGCTTCCTGAGAAGCGCATTAGTCTTCCGGCTTGTCGGGAAAATAAATTTAAAGAGAAAATATTAAAAAAAAATCCCCACGTTTTACAACCCGACCCCCGCTGCTACTCTTTTCCTATCATAAGTTCATAACTCTCCAGCTCTGTGATTGTCTTCTCGGCTGTGTTTCCAGAGCCGGTTCGGAAAACTGGACTGGTAGCTGGCTTTGTATTCTCTTCTATATCTCGCCGTTGTTGTCAACTCAAATTCAGCACTTAGTCACTACCCATCGTATAGAATGCTATGGGGAATTCTATTGTGTCTCTTATTCACAAGCTTCTTCTAAAAACTAGTTGATGTATAGTGTAAAAAAGCATAACCATCATCAACGGGAAAAAGACGCATATGCATAAGTTTAAGGTGATTGAGTCTTTTGCCTATTGGGATGTCGGATGGCTGAGGTTTGATCCTAGTGTTTTGGCTTGATTGCTAGATGTATGATAAGGGTATGCTTTGTTATGAACTCACTATGCGATGATTATCTCACTCAGCCACGAGCTGACCCTCTTTTATCCTTTTACTCTACTTATGCATATGTAAGCAGATCATCATCAGCAGCAGTAGATAAATGTTTAGGTGGGAGCTGAGCTAGAGTTGAAGGCAAGATGAGGTATGATGTTTAACTATTAAGTGCTTGGACGACTACTCGGGATTTTGGTCAGTGATCCAATTTTATTTTGTAACACCGTTTTGAGAACATTTTTCATGTACGTACTAGCTTCTTAAGTAGTGTGAGATATCCACATGTGTGGAAAGTTGACTACATGTGTATATGTGTGTAGTTATATAAGTAGTGACGACTATGGCATTATATAAGTATGGTATGTAGTTGCAGAGTGTGAAACTGTGATTATGGCTATGTGTATATGTGTGTAGTTGTATAAGTAGTAACAACTATGGCATTATATAAGTATGATATGTAGTTGCAGAGTGTGAAACTGTGACTATGGCTGTGAAAAACTAATGTATATGGTTGTGGTGGGTATATATGTATGTCTATGAATGCATAGATTTAGAGAAAATTATTTTGCAGGATTAACTAGAAGAACTGTTAGCCCATTACGTGTGTATTTTATGTCGAATTTTAATTTGGATAATTTTGGGAAAATAATGTAACACTCGAGTCGAATTCCGCTGTGAATGTTTGAACAATTTGATTAGGTAATAAATACAGGCTGGGGTGTTACAAAAAGTATCATCTCGGCTCTAGAACAATAATCACAACTCATAAGTAACAATGTTTTCGTTTATAAAAATTTAAAAATTTGTTATGATACAAACTGAATGATTTTTTCTTGTCAAGAAAAATTCCTATAGAATACAAATGGTGAGGCAATGAGGGGAACGTAAATTTTATTATTTTCGTTTGAAAATATTTTTTTGTGATAAAAAAGTGCATCCATAACACATCATTTAAAAAAATGTTACTAGAATCTTAATATAAGGTATCATCTGAGCTCTACAACTATAATCATAACTCATAAGTAACAATGTTTTCGTTTATAAAAATTTGTAAATTTGTTATGATTGAAACTTAATTTGAACTTTTATATGTTGTGGTATAAATTCAGTTTGTGATATACTTTTCATACAAATTATTTTATGGGATAACCTGAATTTGTGCCTTTAATGTTGTACAAATTCAGTTTGTACCTATCCTTTTTTCGTACAAACTTCTTTATGGTACAAAGTGAATTTGTACATTCAACATTTTGATACAAATTCAATTTGTACTAGAAAGTATCATTGATTATGAGTATTGTTAAGTTCCTCAAACAATTCAGCTATCTAATAAAAATATACGATCGAAGGGAAGAAATGTCCAATCACGAAGAGACCTACTTTTGCCAAATACAAATAAGGCTCCTATAAATGTTTGATATCAAAATCAAAATCACTATAATGAGTATGGCTCGATGCAATCCCTATATTGAATTTGAATTCCATTGTCGAATACATATGCATTCTCATGTTCCTCGAGCAATTAAGCTACCTAAGAAAAATATACGATCATAGGGAAGAAACGTCCAGTCACGAAGAGACCCAAATACACGTAAGACTCCTGCGAATGTTTGACATCAAAATCATAATCACTGTAATGAGTATGGCTCGATGCATACTCTATAACGAGTTTGAATTCCATTGTTGAATAAGAATGTGCACAACTTGCTCACAATCATGTCTTACCATTTGAAGAGGACGAGGAAGCCGAAGAAGCAAGCCCTAAGGACATTGAGGAAAAATAAAAACTCATCCCGGAGAGCTCTCGTGATGAGTATGAAGAAGAATAACCTCATTTGGCATCTCACACCTCTCCCCATCATACGAACAACTTTGAAGAGCAAGTCATAAGGGAGGAGGATCAATATGACCTTAACAAGAACCTTGCATGGCAACTTACCCTCCAAATCGTGCTTGAAGACTTGCACGGGATGGTGAAAGAAGAGTTTGAAGAGGAGGAAGTGAGCATCAAAGAAGTGTAGACTCTTAAATATCTCCAAGGGGAGCAACACAATTTTGAATAAGGAAGTGAGGTTGAGGATGCAAATAGTGTCCAAGATGAGGACGGGTTTGTGGTGGATGAAGTTTCAACAATTTACAAGTGATACCAAATCTTTCCACCCGACCTTGATGTGTTACTCGAGAAGGACCCATTTGAGGCTGTTTGCCAAGACAATGTCAAACCACCATCGATCCCTTTTGGTGGATGCGATGGTGGTCAATCCATGATGTCCTACATGGTATGGGAAAAAGAGAAGAAAGAAGAAGAGGTCTCGTGGGCGGAGCCTCAATTCACACCAAGTCCACGATGTGTGAGTGTGAATGAATGGTGTGAATGTGAGTGTATGGAGCCTAGTTTTATATGCCCAAATTTTAAAATTTAAGGACTCCAAGAACATATGTGAATGAATGATATGGCCTATCTATTGAATGCCTTAGAGCCTTGTTGAATGCCCAAATTTTTACAATTTGTAGGCTTCGAAACTTGTGATTGAATGAATGATTATTGGCCTACATTGAGGCTCATATGCTCAAGTCATCCCAAGATGTGATCGAGAGCAGAGGTCTATTGTTCAACCAACTTCGTGTCTTGCCACATAGGGATTAGGGAAAGAGTATCAACCAAAGAGCTTCTTGTGGTACTCCGTTAATTTTCAAACCATCCGTCAGCTCACAAAATCTGTTGATGTGCTCCCTTGGGGTCTCATTCTCCCTTTGGATAATGATGACGAGACCGGTCTTGATCTTGAAATTAATGGCCGCCATGGGAGGATGTTAGATGCTTAGTTGGATGTCCGTCACCCATGGGGTCATAAAATATCCCATAGTCATTCCTTCATCACCCTTTTGTACGATTTCGTTCTCCATCGCAAGATTTCTTCAACTACAAATTCTTCTTCAAACTCAAATTCCTCCTCAACTTCAACGTGAAGTTTCCCTTAACTCCCTCTCTTG